TGCTGAAGGTTGAATTCTTTGGCCAAGACAGGGTAGGATGTAAAGCGGAGATGATGGCACCCACAGGCAGGTGCCTGCTGAGGATAAATGCCCAAACCGAGGGTACGGGCTATTTTAGTCAAAAGAAGACTTTTCTGGGTTCTGCTAGCAGTTACCCATTGATCACTACGTTCCTAGGTGGGCTCTTGATGCAAAACAGAATGTCATTTATTACACAGTTCCCAGTCAGTTCTCAGGCTCTGTTTTCTCTGGCTTTTCCTCATATGTGTATCTTAAAGACAGTTCTGAACAAAGTCCGAGTTAGACAGCAAAGCCATGCATAGTGATACTGTCTTAATATTTGCAGACTTGCCTGATAACTACTGTGTGTTGAATCAAGTTTCATAACCACTGTCAGGAGAAGGCCATGTATTTACTGAATCATAATTTTAACCTCTAACTTTATCATGGATTTATAGATGCATATGAAGTGCTGTAATGTGTGTGTACACACTAGTAATGATGTTTCTTATCCACTTCATCTAATTTTTCTTGTTCATGAGTCATAATTGGTTGTATTAACAAACAGGTATACCACTTTTCCAGTTAATTGAGAGGAAAGACATTTAGTTAGTTGTAATTTACACATCATATACATTTTGTTTCTCTTCCATACAGCATTAATTTCCCTGGAAACACATATCAAAATGTGAGCACAAACTTGAGACTCACAGAGTGTGACATCTCTTCTCTGTCTGCGTATGGAGACTACATTTTACAGGTGAGAGCGGAGTCAGGAAATGACCATTCCGACTGGGCGACCGTCAGATTTAAGCCAATGGATGACAGTAAGCCATTTTCTAATCTTCTACAAAAAATAGTGTCTGCTATTAATGCACCTTTACAGTTTGGTTCCATAAGAAAAGCTATTGCATGCGGATCATTTTTAAATTTAATTGCATTTAGCTATAAAATCTTAGTTGTAACACTTCCGTTTTTGAAGGCAGAAGTTGCTGTCAGGAAGCATAATAGATTTACTATTATTATTATATCTAGCTATTATTATAGCTAGATGCTAGATATTGAGACATCTTTCGAGGACGTTTTCAAAAACTGTATATTTTTCCCTTAAAATAAGGATTGTTTATTTTCAGCCAGGGAGAGCTTTTCTTCAAGGATTCAGACTTCCTGTATCTCTAAATCAGTTCAATCATTTTCTGCTTCAGTGCTGTGTCAGACAAAAAGCTTTCCTTTTATTTTTTAATTAATTTCACAGAGAAAGATTAATTTTAGTTAAGAAATCTTCATTGCACAAATTGCCATTCTCTTAGCGAAGCTTTACAGTCTTTGTGAGAGGTGATTTAGACATTGCCTTGCATTAGAGTGCACAACAGAGATGTTAATCATGTTGTTGTCCTCTGAGCCTGGGAATGAGGGAGTAGTTTTTACCAGTGAGCATCCTTTGTTTTGTATAGTCTTACTCCACTCATTAGCAAAAGTCTAATTATTTTAGATTATGTAGTTAATGTTACCCAGAGCTTTTTTCTCTTCACAGCTGTTAATACAAAACCATGTGGGAAGCTTCTGTTACACCTCATCTTTGAGAAAAACTTTTTTAAATCCTTTTCTTTCTCGTTCTGCCTTCATTTGCTTGAATATCATCATTCTGTTCCTTGGATTTCAGAGTGTAATTTTACAGTTTACAGCCTTGTTTTTCAAAATGCTTTTATTGTTTGTCTTTCTCCAAAAGCATAATGTTGATACAGTTTAGTCTGCCTAGAAAAGAAGCACTGAAACATAGCACACACAAAAAAAAATACAGCATTGCAAGTATAGATTACATCCAAAAGAAAGTGCAATACAAAAAGTACGGGTGGATTTTCAGAGCAGAGAGCAAACATGTAAATCATTAACAGAGTTGTAGTTTGACATGTATTTGAAAGAGCTTGTGGCCTTCAGAGCAGACTTGGCTTTGGAAAGGAAGCTTATTTCTGAACTGAGAAAATCTGGTTATAAAACTACCTGGAAAGAAAGACCTGGGAGTACTGGCCAACTGGCCAAATCTCTGAGGAGGACACGAGGATTTTTAATGTTGTCATAGCTGATCTGCACAGGGCATCGTGATAAAAATATCTGATGTTCCTTTCTGTATTGTTATTTCTGCTAGTTGCTTTTGTAAGAAATTTCACACTGTATTGTAGGAATAGCCAAAGAAAACCAGAGTAACCAAGACCCTCCTCACATTATTTTTCACAAGTTCAACAACATGTTCATGAGTATTACACACGTGCATGGTCCAGCAAGCAGATTTTTTTTAAGTTTTTGATTAAAGAAACACATGTTTCTAGAGAAATGCAAAATTCTCTGTATATTGAGCTCTTCCTTTCTTAGATGCTCAATAGTGTGGCTGTAGCCAAGCAAAACTTCAGTAGAGGCAGCCAAGTCAAGAGTTGTTTGTTGGAATTACGGGAGACTTTCATGGAGAGCTCATTGCAGACACAATGGAGCCAATAACTAAGCTACGCATGAATTAATTTAGGTAGCGGCACAAAAACATAAGGACAAGCCATTTTCAAAGTAGGATAATATAATATTCAATCTTGAAGACATGCTGAAATGATTCAAATATTTCAGTTTTTCAAAGTGATCACAATGAAAGAAGCGTTAAAACACTTCACTAGAGGGTCTGCTCAGAAAAGACGTGTTTTCAACAGCTTAACTCAGAAAGAGAAGTGGGTAATAACCTATAGAAATAGTCCTTCCTCTCCCAGGAGTTACCACAGCTGGCAAAAGAGAACTGAGTTAATTTAGTGTATGGGAAATGTAGTCTACAAAAAATATCTGTTATTTAACCGCAAAACCAAATCCCTTTCAAGACCAGTTCTATAAGGAAAGGATTTATTTATGCCTGACCCATGAAAGGAAATTACTTTCTTCTAATAGGTAAATTTGTTTAAAGCGTGCATTGTCATAGGTTGTGTAAAAACGTCAAATTGATAACAATGTGAAACTGAATTCCGTTCTTACTTCTCTTCCACCATTCCCATACAGCAGTCATCGGGCCACCTGATGTAAAAGTGAAGTCAGAGTCTGGGTCCCTGCACGTGGATTTCATAGGCCCTTTTGCTGAACATGAACATGACAAGTGGCCCCTAAAGCAATATTACGGCTCGTGGAATTACAGAATACTGTACTGGAAGAAAGGCAGCAATAAAGAGGTAACTTCAGCTTCCCAGATGTTGTGAATCATGACTTTGATATATGCTTTTCTTGGTAAAATACCATGCTGGTGAAGTTCTGAAAGCTAATGGTACTGAAATAAAAATAGATTTCTACTAATTACAGTGTAATAAAGTCTAGTCATTACAACTGGCATTCAGAGCAAATGGCAGATAGCTGTGCAGTTGAACAGTAGCATGGATATAATTTACTCTATCCATAATTAGAAATAACTGCTGCATTATGAGAGTTTACTCCCTCAGTTTAGTGATGTGTTTATTTGTGATGCAGTCATCCCCACCAAATCTCTCTATTTCACGCATACAAGCAAGGGTGAACTTAGAAGCTGTAACATAAGCAGTATCTGTGATCACGGCGATAAGGTGACTTCAATTCAACTCTGATGTTGTTCAAGTGTTTGCACTCTTTATGGGACTTTGGGCTTTGGATACTGCCATGGATGAGGCCTTATGTTAACTGTGGTCACTTTCACCTCTTCGGTTTCTACCAATTGTAATTCACTTTCTTCCTCTCACGGACAGCCTCTTCCACAGACAGATGTGTTGCTCAGCTGAAAAGACTTCTCCATGCAAAATGTGAGGAGAAAGATCATAAATAATATATTAATTATCGAGTTTTGAGTTCTATTACAGGAAAAAAGGAAGCCCTTTACTGGAAGATATCAGTCATAGTATAATTAGTGCTTTGTACATCAGTACAATTTTCATATAATAGGACTCCACTACATATAATCTCATTTGTATTTGTTACCTTGCAAAATTCTTTGGCATTCAATTCCAGAAAATAAGGGATCATCATTTCCCAAAAACTAGACTGGTTTTCAATGCCTAAACTGCAAAAGATGAAGGTATTTCTGCATATGAGATGCAAACTTAGGCAGACGACCAGAGAAAGCAGGAACTTCAGGTAGAGTCTGTGCTTGTAGCACTTCAGAGCAGAAGCCTGGGAAATTTCCATACGGGTCAAAGAAGCAAAAGGCATAGGCTATGTAACTTCATAGGTTGTTTTTTGAAGTGGACGCTCGCTCAGAATGCTGAAACCTAGCTGGAGAGCCTTCTCACCCCGAGAAAGAATCTGTTACTATGTAATGAGACATGTTGTAGGGACTCTTAGACTCTGCAGGGACCATATAATTACAGGGATATAATCAATCATGCCTCTAAACAGCTGTCAGTCACCTAGTAATAGCTTCCACAAGCCTTTTTCTTTCTGTCTTTTTTTTTGTTTGTTTGTTTAGATCATCCATCCTACTTGCTCTGTCTCAAATTAAATTATGTTTGCCTGTGACAGCACTCTTAGTTGATCTCATTCGTTTAATCAGTTCTTTCTCCCTGCAAGCAGATGTCATTTATCACTTCTCTGTAGGCCTCTTTAGCCTTAAACTTCATTAATGCTGCTAGAAGCAATCAGAAAGTCAGTGGTGGGAGTGGTCTCCCACTCTCACCATAGGGAAATCAATGTAGAGTTATCACTTATGTGACATAGGCGAGGCATTTTGTTCTGCCTTTTAAAGCCTTATTCACATAGCAGCTATAACTTACAGGATCTGTCCTACTAAATGTAATTTTAATTACTTAGCTAGTCCATTCACTGTACTTGTGCTTTTCCAATTTTTTGTATTCTTTTCTGTTATTAGGTAACGCACATAGATACTAAACATAACTCTGAAATATTATCTCAGTTGGAGCCGTGGACGGTATATTGTATTCAAGTGCAAGCAGTTATCCCCGAGTGGAACAAAACAGGGAAACTGAGCGGAGAGCTTTGTGAGCAGACAACCCACAACGGTAATACCTCGTGCATCAGAACAGGATGTAGAGAGCTGGGAAATGTGCAAAGCCATTTGAAGTGAAAATTAATGTAATGTGTAAACCTTTCAAAAATGGATGTGTTTGTTACTTTAGTACAACGCTAATAATATTTGGTGATTAATAGTGTGTACCTTTGGAGCACAGGAGTTGGAAATGAAGTGAAAACTACAAGCAATATGGCACCAATGGGATGATGCTTTACTTCACCACAGAGGCCTTGGTGTTCCTCATGCTCTGAAAATCAGAGTTAAATGGCGTATAGGCTCTTCACTGATTACACTGTGTGTCTGAATTTCTTTTATCATCAGCTGTACTCATTATCTTCTGAAAGCCTTTGTTCCATATATTTTGTAACTGAGAAAGGAATCGGACACTGTGTTGCAGTCTGCTTCATCTGTGGTTATATTGCCAGTGTCTGTCACGAGGCCAGGCCGTGATGCTCATTCTCTGTGAAACAAAGCAGTTATTAATCAATAATATAAACAAATACTTTGTTCAGATAGTTTCCTTCTCATTTTGAAGTCAGTTAAGTACCAAAAGTGCTTTCTTTCCAGCCGTGCCACCTTAGCCACTGTCTGTGGAGTCCAGCAACAACCAGAACATGGTCTGATGCTGTTGCCTTAGCAGGGACCTTCATGTCCCTAGTTAAAACAAAGGATGGGGTCCTACATACTGTGTCTTTCACAGGCATAATGTGTATTTCAGTTAACTTGCACCCTCGGATAGCGTGTGGAAAATCAGAGACACGAGTTAATGAAGACACCATCTGAGGGAAGCCTGGGGAAGCTACTGGGCTAACCTGTTTGTCATGGATTTCCTTGTAAAATGTTTCCTTGTATATTTTTCCTACATGTGTATTATCTGCATGCACTGCACTTGAATTACAGGTGCGTTTTGGTGGTGGTGTTGCTTGTTAGTTCATGGCTAGAACAGTGCTTAGCAAGCGTAGGTTGGTATTAAAGCATTTATACAGTGATCTTCATTCCCGTTGCCTGTTGTGAAATCCCAGTGCATGACATAATTTTTTTTAACAACTCAGTAGTTTAGAATTTTACAGACTTTTGTCCCCTGCTGTCTTTACTTTGCTGCCATTTTTACAGATTTCTTTAAGAGAAAAGTGGAAGCCTATGCTCTGGTAGTGTTATATGTCAACTCCTACACTCCTGAAACACCGAAGAGTGTACAATAGCTTTTTATGTGATATCACCTTGTGGGTGGTTCTGTTGGTCTTTTTTCCTTTAATCATTTGCCTAGTATTGCATGTAGAATCACCAGTATGTGTAACTGTAAATGTCTAAATATGATGGCTTGTAAGCTTACTTTTTTGAAACTTCCTCAGCCTATGCAGACTAAAAATTTAACAGCTAAGAGGTATTTTGCATCTGGAAACAAAGACTTACGATTGCAGTTACAATTTTTTAATAGTTTTGTGTTGGTTTTTTTTAAATTCCATAGAGACAGTGATAATTTGAAAAGAATATTCACACTTTTTTTTTCCTTGTCTCTTGCAGGTGTAACTCCCGTGTGGGTAATTGTGACCATTCTTATAGGATCAATGTTGGTCGTTGTAGTATCTGTTCCTGTTTGTTTCTTTTCCTTTTTGTATCTATATCGACTCACGAAGCATGTTTTCTGCCCTTCGTATATTTTCCCACAACACTTGAAAGAGGTTTGTTTTCTACCTAACACAATTATAATCCACCTTTGCAGCAGAACCGCCTGCTTTTCAAACACTCTCTGTGCCAAAACCTTTAGAGCTTCTTTTATTTTGCCTTCTTTCACTTGCACCTGATTCTTAGCCATCTGTAAAGTGCAGACTGTTCTGAGGGGGTTTTAGACTATAACGAGCAATGCTGGTTATCTGTTGTTATATAGTTGTTGTGTACAGTAAAACTCACTCTTCTGCCAAACATAAAAAGCCATTCAAATACACATAAATGCTGAAGTCGTGAACTTTGGAAAAAGCTGACAAAGGAAGGTACTTTTCAGTATGAGAAAGGTAGTGGAAGTTAGTTCCTTTAATATTTAATTTCTGGCATTATAAGGTCATAAATTTTGCATGAAGGTTATCTCCGTTTTTTCAAGTTCTGTGGCGCTACGTAGACATAAGTAAGAAGCACTGAAATTGGACTTCCTTTTGAAGTATACTGATATATAGTAAACTCTAAAATACTGTCATTTTGAACTGTTCTGCGCAAAGTGGTCCAAAATACTTAAAAGCTAAACAACTTTAAAACTTGGCATAGACTTATTCCTAAAGCAACTGCGTAATTTGTAATATGAAGCTTTATATGGCTTAGAAACAAGATGTTTTCTTTCATTTTAAAGTGAGAGAATACCAGGTGTTAACCTTCTGTTCCTCTTTTTAGACAGCGAACAACTGAGATATCTGTCTCCCCTATCTCATTTTAGACTGAAAATTGCACATTCGTTCTCCTGAAACAAAGTTCTTTCACAAATATAATAATGAGTTTTAACTTAAGTAAAGAACGTGGTGAAGTCTGAAAATTCAAGATAAAAGGAGAGCAAGGAACGTTAGCCATTACTGTTGGAGAATACCACTGACCCTGTTACCCATATAGCAACATGAAAAGACTCTATCAGAATCTCCTCCAAGAAACAAGGCTATACAGGGTGTTACAGGCGCTAAAGTTAGGAGCCTATACTCTTCTGAGTTTCCTGCAGTTTCTCTGGGTCTTTCTTTTTGACTCATTGAGAGTTCAGCAGATGAAGGCTTTGCAGCTGAGTTAGCAATTGTCCTGTGCTTTAAGTAGAGCACACGTTCAGCACACAGTGGTTTGCTGAACCTGGAGCTCAGCTGTTGGGAAGGTAGCATTGCTCTGATCAATACAGGATGTGGCAAAATTTCTTTTTGCTCACAGGTTTCTCACAAGAAAGGGAGAATTTTCATGTTGTGCTAGTGGGTTATAGTCGTCAATCGCAGTCATCAAAGGTCAGTCGTGTTTACCTAAAGTGACATATATCAAAGGCAGTGGTTTCACTACACGAACATTTGAGATTGCAGGCTACTGACAGAACATTTCAAATCACAGTTTGATAGGAAAAGGTCTAATAGTAATAATATTAGTATTTACTTTTGTAATTACAATGAACAGGACTCCTCACAGTGCATTTTATGTAAAATACAAGCCGCTCTAAAGTAATAGACAGGGGTCAGGTCACAGGAACAAAATGCAGTTGTACTCCTCCAGCCAGCAGGATACCAATAAAATGAAGTGCCACTTCATCTGCCAAAATGAGTGGTTGACATGTTATTACTGTGTTGAGTAGGTGTGCTGTTCTTGTGTTGACATTCAGAACACAGTCATGACATCCTGTGAAGTCCATGTTGATTCTTGAGGCCAGTTCCATCCTATCAATAGAACAGGGAGTGGGAGGAACTTGTGATATTTCGGTACTAAAATGAAATCATCTTTCTCACTGAATTGTATAGCTCTGCAAATCTCCCTCCCTCTCCTTTTCTTGATTAAATGGTTTCGGGTTATGTTGACATTTAAAGCATCCCTGTTTGGTGTCTGAGCAGACAGCTCTCTGAGACGGCAGGAACAATTCACATCTCTTAGAGCTGTTTGACAAATCTCTCTGCAAACTCCTTCACCTACAGTCAAGTCACCATTTTTAGGTTTTGTTTCCAAACAAAACCTAGGTATTTTATTTTTTTAAGAAAGTTTATATTGCAAAGAAGTCACTAACCCCTGGGGTATCTTCTTGCAAATAAAGACATTTGTGGATTGCTTCCAAGCCTTGCACAGGATGTTAAAGCAAGCAGAGAGGTTATTACATTGCCACCATTCTGGGACTTCTAAGGATTGAGAAAGCCAGTTGATGTGTGGAAAACAATATAAAACATATTTCGAAGCAAACAGGATGGTGTAGCTGGTGCAGTCTAATTCTCATTTCCTCTTTCCTTCACAGTTTTTGAGCAAGCCTCCCAGTGGTTCACAGTTTTTTTCTCCACTCGCACAAGAAGAGCATCTTTTTTATGACAAGCTAACTGTCATTTCAGAAGAATCCAAAAATCACAGTGATGAGACTGGCAGTGAGGCCAGCAAGACAACAGAGCATCTTCAGGACTCTGAACAAGAAGATTCTGATTCAAGAATAGTACCAGCTTCAGAAAAGGCCTAAGTGCACTCCTCATACTTCACTCGGACCAAAGGAAAAAGCAAATGGGCTGATGAGTTTATCTTCTTATTGCGGCATTCTTAAGGCAGTAAAAATTCATATATGAAGATGTGGACACAGACTTTTGACAGAATGCTACTGTATTTTTTTAAGTGCAAGAAACTTGACTATAAATGAGGAATTAAATGATACATAATTTTTTCCACTGTTTGTTGTGGCTCGCTGTTAAGTTGTAGCAATACCTAGGACTGCATTATGACATTAATTTAAAAAGCAAATATCATATATATATATAAAAATACTAGTTAATTTAACTTTGATAAACTATTTATTGCAAAAGCTAATCAAAATGGTGTATTGTATAAGGTTTGTAAAAGAAAATCATATTTTGTAAAAAAAGTCCTGATCTGACTTTTTTTTTTAAGGAGAAATTGTGCATATTTCTTAAGGATATTCCTTGTGGCATAATCTTTCTATTGACTATTTTTTTAACTGATGCAAAATTGTAAAGTTATTATGGTGGTATGAACTTGATATGAATAAACCAAACACAAATATTCAGGGTGTTTTGCATTGCAAGGTGTTACTTATACTTCATTGCTAAGGACCAGTGCACTGACAGATAGCCCTCTATGTTCAGGTATTGCTCAGTCCCCTGAGCCTCTGCCTTGCAGTTTCTGTGGCTAATTAAATTTTGCCTACCTAATCCAGAGTCCACTGAAGTCTGGGGAAAATTTCGCAACTAAAGTGGGAGTTAAAATGTAGGTTCATTTAATTTATCTACTGATGCATATTCTCAATTCAAAAAAGTAAACTCAGGTTGATGTGACTCCCATGCTACATAATACAATCTCGCCTGTGTAGCCCTGTTGGTGCTTATAAAGGTTATGTCCGCACCAACATTGGGGCATGAAGTGTGACCTTCGCCCTGTGTGCTAATTTTGAGTGACGCAAATTTTTTTGTGTGTATTAGTACATCAAAATGAGAGTTAAAAATCAAGTGCTGTCAGCAAGCCACGAGTGAAGCTGTATGTAAATCATAACTTGATGTGGGAATTGCAAAATTTTTAGCTATGGTTTTGAGGTTTGCTAATTGCACAGTTGCTACTATGTAAATACTCGCTTCTTGGGAACTGTTGCAGGAAGAAAACATAAGAATCAGCATTGATTCTTTGTACCACTCAGCTAAATGTAACCTGCGCGTGTTTTTTCTGCACTTTTATTTTTCATCATATTCTTGTTTAATGTGGAATATGGAAAAAATGGGGAAGCATTTTCATCCCAGGCTGCATCAGAAGAAGTGTGGCCGGCAGGTCAAGGGAGGTGATTTTTTGTCTCTGCTCTGCTCTGTGAGACTCCACCTGGAGTATTAAATCCAGCTCTGGTGCCCCCAACGTAGGAAAGACATGGACCTGTTGGAGCAGGTCCAGAGGAGGGCCACAAAGACGATCAGAGGCCTGGAGCACCTCTCCTATGAGGACAGGCTGAGAGAGTTGGGGTTGTTCAGCCTGGAGAAGAGAAGGCTCCAGGGAGACCTTACAGCAGCCTTTCAGTACCTAAAGTGGCCTGCAGGAGAGCTGGGGAAGGACTTTTTACAAGGGCATGTAGTGATAGGATGAGGGGTAATGGCTTCAAACTGGAAAAGGGGAGATTTAGATTAGATATTAGGAAGAAATTTACTGTGAGGGTGGTGAGGCACTGGAACAGGTTGCCCAGAGAAGCTGAGGCTGCCCCATCCCTGGAAGTGTTCAAGGTCAGGCTGGATGGGGCTTTGAGCAACCTGGTCTAGTGGGAGGTGTCCCTGCCCATGGCAGTGGGGTTGGAACTAGATGATCTTCCAGGTCCCTTCCAACCTAAACCATTCTGTGATTCTATGATTTTGGTGTTTTTTAAGGCATTTTATGTCATTGGTGCTTTTCTTCACCTCTCACCAAAGCAGCTCTGTGCGTGCTGATCTTAAGGAAGGCCGATGTCCTGTGTGTGGTACTCCCCTCCACTGTGAAGATTCCACTCCCTGTATGTTCCCTATCCCTCCTTCCACACTAACAGCTTCTTATGTATATTCTCTTTTTTTTTTTTTTGGGGGGGGAGCTTTCAGAAAAGCAATAAACATAGCATAGCTCATATGAGCAATGCATGCGCCAGTTGGCTGGCCAGCTGCTGTCAGAAGAGAAGAGGGTTGAGATTTCCCTGCTTTTTCCTCACTCTTTTAGTACAGCTGCTTTCATCTAACCATTGGCTGATTTTCATGGAAAAGCAGGAAGTTACTGTCTATCAATTGTGGCTGAAAGCCGTAAGATGGTTCAAAGGCTATGAGGAGGGCACAGATAAGAGTTCCGTGTGCTGTGCCACTTCATTAAAGGTTCACTGGTAAGCCAAACTGGTGGAGAGGAAAAAATAACCTTGGCTATTCAGAGACAGAGTGTTTTTAGATTAAAGCAGGAAGAATGTGTGCAAGAACATCATCTCCAAAATTTCGAGAGATTCGCTTCCCCCATCTAAAAAGAGGAAGTGTTTCCTCTCACGTCTTTGTCTTTGTTCTACTATCACATGAGAGGAGAGGGAAAGACTCTATTCTCAGAATACTGCTTCCTCTTTCAACACATCCAGACACCTGGAGAAAGGAAGGATTTGCCCTAACCGCTTTGTTTGTTTAACTTTTCTTTGATATAGAACATGGTGTCTTTAAAGAAACAGCTGTTTTAAGTTCATGTGAGTCGATCTTTCTCCTGCAGTCTGTATCATCGTCAAAGAGCCTTTATATAGTGAATTACAAAATGAAAAACATATTAAGATTCCAGCTGCCTCATGAGTATCATGAAATAGGGATGCATTCCCCAACTCTGCCTCTCAATAGGTCGCCAAAGTTTCCAGAAAGTTCACAGACCTGTACAATCTGAGCAAAGTTTCAACCCTCAATCGTACTATGCTCCAGTTTTCTGAGGACATCAAGCTGACAGAGCTGTTAGACTACACCATTGTGTTTCTGTAATGCAAACAGAGCATGGTGTGGCAGTTTGCACGGCAGTTGGCACAGCAGGGCACGTGGGAAGGGCACAGTCACCCTACTCATTGAAGAGGTCTCTGCCAGGATGGTGGGCACTCGCATCAGAGCTAAAAGCAGTGTTTCTACAGAGAAAGTCCCTGTGATGTCTAGCGCTTCTACCCAGACGGAACTGGTAAGAAAGGAGACTTCAGTACCAATGGTAGGTTGCAACGAGTACCCAGACCCTTCTCCTGGAGACAAGGAAAGTACTGGCAAAAGCCATCCACAGGTTGATGACCTGTTGCATCAGGTGGCTGAGATTCAGGAAATGGTTAAAAGGCTCTGCAGTATTAGAGGGGCCAAGACAGAGGCAGATAAGTGGTTTCAGAACCACATTCCTGGGGCAGACACCACAGAGAATGTGGCAGCTTGGACCCACAAAAAGTGACCCACAAAAGCAGGACTCTGCTTCGCTCCCCAGGTATGAAGCTTTAAGAGCTGTAGATACCCACGAGCAAGGTCTACAAGGAGAAACTGTACCAGCAGCACACAATGGATACTGCAAAAAGAAATAACAAGTGCTCATAGTGGGCGACTCTGTTAAGGGCCACTGAGGTGCCCATCTGCCAGCCTGACAGGGAGTCACAAGAGGTATGCTGCCTTCTGGGAGCTAAGGTCCGAGATGTTGCTGAGAGGGTGTCACAACTTGTCAAGAGCACAGACTACTATCCATTGCTACTCTTTCATGTGGATACAAATGACACTGCAAGCCAGAACTTGGGTAGAATCAAGGAGGACTACAAAGCCCTGGGGGTGCAAGCGAAAAGTACTAGTGCCCAAGTTATCTTTTTTTCCATTTTACCAGTTGGAGGAAAGGGTGCACCCAGAAATAGACATATAATGCAAATCAACCTCTGGCTTCATGGCTGGTGTTGCCATGAGAGTTTGGGTTTTATGACAATGGGACATTCTTCGATGACTTTAGCCTGCTAGGGAGGGATGGGATCCACCTGTCTAGAAGAGGCAAGGCAGTCTTTGGCAGCAGGCTGGCCAACTTGGTGAGGCAGGCTTTAAACTGAAGGACTTGGGGGTGGGAGTCCAAAGTGGCAATGTTCATGCCACTGCAACCAACTGGGGAATAAGCCAGGACAATCAGAGCAGCAACAAACGTCCCTTAGCTGCCTCTACAGATGAGAACCAGAAGACCAGCCACCTCAAGTGTATGTATGCCAATGCACGCAGACTGAGGAACAAACAAGAGGAACTGGAGCTCCACACCCAGTCAGAAACATGGTGGGACAACTCACATGACTGGAGGATTGTGACGGATGGCTCTAAGCTGTTTCGCAAAGACAGAAAGGGAAGAAGAGGATGAGATGTCATGCTTTGCGTTAAGGAGAACCTTGAATGTGTAGAAGTCAACTGTGGTGATTGTGGAAGCCCTATCAAATGCCTCTGGGTTATTAAAGGAGAAGCCACTGCCCGAGCAATCACACACTATTCATGGTGTCACACACGCACACTCTTGGGCGTGCTTCCTCCTTCTTCAGGCTTGACCCTAGCTTTCCCACAGCAGACTTGCAGGCGTCGGATTTTATAAAATAATTAATTTAATTGAAAGGTACAGCAGCAAGGACAGCCTGGGCTGGGTGCCTCCAAAGAGAGGGACCATAAACAAAGAAACCCCCGGGCAATTATACCTTTGTGATCTATACACCTGCCCCTCACGTGCTCTTCACATGCTGTCCACAGGTCTTTTAGTCCAATGGTGAATTTTAGTCTAGAGTCTTCTAACATCTTATTGGATTCTTTTTCTGTGTCCAGGCAGGCAGGCTCTTATCTTGTTGATTTGCAGTTTCAGCTGACGGTTGGAGCCTCCTTATCTTCTGGTTTACACTCCTTGTGCACCTGCGCTCACTAGCAGAACATGGAGAACTGAAGAGTCCCAAACTTGGGAAAAACACTACCAAAGCATCAGTGTGATATCAATATCTTTCCCACACTAAAAGACTAAACACAGCACTTTACCAGCTGCTGGG